AAAAAATTGATGGGAGTGAAACCAATTCAGGCCAAATGATATGCATGGTGATAATATCAAGAGACTCGTAAATGTCATAGAAAAATATATTCGATATTGTTCAAGTCGTATATAAATCTGAAAAGAGCTACTCAATACAAATTCCCAAGTGTACATGCACATTCACCTTCTTTGATATCATACTGGTCTGATCCTTATCTCATCTGTAGTGAACTTTTTGGATACCACACTACACTGATCAGATGCACATACCTAGTGAAATCTCATGTAAAAAATACAATGAAAAAAAATGTTATTCGTTATGAAAAGTTTGAAACCACATCAAGGATATGCCTTCAAAATAATTCAAAATAGAGTTATACCACTACTATTCATGTCCCAACACAAACGTCTATTTAAATCATTGTCAACTCGATTTTTTCTGAAATTGAGCTGTTATGAGTTGTTTGTCCATGACACCATAGGATATCCAGGATGATTCTAAGCTATATATACACACTGATATACAATGTTTTATTATGAGATGTTTTGGAAATGACACTGTAGAATATCAATGATGGTTCTTAGCTGTATATACAAGCACCACTTACATAGAGTTATTTGTTATGTCCCCTCCCAAACCAACTTCTGGACCTTTTACTAGGCCCATTTAGGACCCACGGATCAGTCTTAATTTGGGATAGCTTACTCCTGTGAAGGAAAGAGTGATGCAACGGAGAACTTAAGGTGAATGGGCTGGGGGCCAATGACAGGGTTGAGTATCCATACTCATAAGAGTAGTATGGGAGACTTTTGGAAAGAAGTCAGTGGAAAAGAGGGGGGCACCCTGAAACTCATCCCCAAACTATTTATTATAAGATTTCCTCTGGAAACCTCCTTATGTCCCTTTTTCATTTCTATCTCAGTTAAGCCTTTGTTTCAGCCTCAATTATAGGACCCTGACAATTAGTATTTGAGCCATAACATTGAGGAATAGCACCGGAAGGAAGGTATGAAAGCTTGAACGAGGACATAAGAGATCTGAAAGATGTACTTTGCTATTTTTCTAAGAAATTACCATAAATATAGGTGGATGTACAAATATTTTGTCTTTAGAGACTACAATAAGAGAGCTGACACATGGGATAATGTAGGTTTTGAGCCAAAGTGACAATACCCCCCACTCTACCCCTAGGGAGTAGGGAAAGAGTGGTGGCAGTAGGAGAGGCAAGATGAAGTAGAAAATGGTGAAGTAGCTAGTCTTTAGAGACTATAATCAGGCACATGGTGAAGTAGAAAATGCAGGTATGCAGCCACAACTAATCAGTGACCAAAGAACTGTTCAGCAACAGATGTACATTCCATGCTGAGTTGTACTTCAAGATGAAGCAAATTAAGGACCAAGATTAACTAAAGATGGTTGTGGCAAGTTTGAATGATGAGGCACTAGTATAATTTAGAAGGACAGATGCTCAAAAGTCATTTAAAGATTGGGAGGATGTCAAACACTAGCTACGAAGGTGATTTGGCTCACAGCTAATAGGTACATTATGGGAACAGATTCGGTATATTAAACAACATGGTATGTTGGTTGAGTATAGAAGATAATTGAAATTATTATCTAGTACTGTCCAAGAGCTATGTGAGGAAGCAATGGAGATTACCTTTGTCAAGAAATTGAGACTAGAGATCTGAGCAAAAGTGAAAAATTTCAAACCCCTAGCCTTAATAATATTATGGATATAACATAGGCCATCAAGAAAAAAATATTTCTGTCAAAACCACTTAACATAAGGATGGTGAAGACCAACTCCTATGATTAGTATGGCTTGAAGGATACGGTTAGAAATTTCAAGGAACAAGAAAATTCAACTAGTAGGTCAATGAATTAGAATGCTAAGGTTGCATCTTCTAGCACCTACCAAATTCATCATCTAGCACCTACCAAATTAGAACTACACAAGAGGCATGTAAAGGGCCTCTATTTCTTGTCTCCACATGGACTGAAGACATTTCCTCCATAGAATCAGGATGAGATGCAAATGAATGTTTAATCAATGCCCTGGGAAAAAAGTGAGAAGCACCAATGAATCTGAGGCTGAAATGTATGTAGAAAGAGAATATTATGGAAAAATTGATTTGACTATTATGGAAAAATATTACTTCAACTTTCTATCAACAATAAGGTCAACTACCGCATGTGCACTAGGCACTGGCCAATAAACTAGGTGGGAGAGAGAGGGTTAGAAAGAGGTAGTTACATAGACAAGCAAACAAATGAGAGGAGACATATAGAGATCCAAAATAAGGTATCTTGCTCAGTTATATATATATAGTTATTCATACTGACGCTTATCAAGGAGACGGACAATGGCAAATGATGTGGAGAGAGAGAGAGAGAGAGCAAAGAAATATAAGTGGGTTGGAAAGAAGGTTGGGGCCATTACAAAACAAGTTTTTTTAGAAGTCAATCATGGACTTCTAGTTATTGGATTCTAGAAAAGGGACCAAGTCGTAAGAGTTAAATAATTTATTGGGCATGAAAGGCGAATGGAAAGTTGATTTGTCCCCAACTTGAGTCCTTTAGAAGACTTAATGTGAAACATTTTAAGAAGTTCATCAAACCTTGGACTTTATATGAAATTTGTATGAATTCAATTAAAGTTCAATAGTCTCGTACAAAGCCTTGCAAATTGCACGAACATTGACACATTTTATTGATTTTGATACAATTTGTGCTAATTTTATCAACATCGATGAACTTCATCAAAACTCTACAAAACCAAACATATTCATTGGAAGCTATCTGAATACCTAAAATTTGCACAGAGATCGTCAAGTTCCCAAACCTTTGTGATGAAAATCTCAAATTTGATATATGTCATGCGAATTCGGACAGATATTATTGAATATCTTATGAGCCCATTCTATTTGCAAGATCAGAGCCATAGATTCATTCAATTTATGATGCTTGGCCCTATTCCTTTATAATTACCTATGAGCTTAGTTGACTTTAGCAAACATCACGTCAACTGCATCAAGCTCAATAAAATTGGCCCCTCCCTCCAACGAGAAGATCGAGCAGAATTTGTGAAACGACATAAAAATTCATTCGCCCAATTAAATCTGACAAATTCTCATCCAGACCCCTTTAAAAGGGGCCATTGAAGCACATGAAAATATGATGACCTTGTGGGGTTTATTGCAGTTACTCGTCACGCACGCTCTCCACCAAAAAACACATTATCCGAAGGTGTAAATAAAATATAATAACTTCAACGGTAAGAAACCCATCTGAATATATACTAAAAATATAAAAAATATTTCCAAAGGCGAAGCGTCAGAAGAAAACGACAGAAGCAGAGCTTTCAGCTCACGCACGGGGATTAGGTTAATCGTCGTCCCCTCAGAATAACTCCGGACGCTGCAGGATCTCATCCAAACGCCGCTCGAGGAAAACCGGACCGGCCAGATTTCAAGGAGATTCCGACGAAGGTGGCTGTGCCACGCTGGAAGGAAGATGATCCACGCAAAATCCGAAAGCGACTTCCAAACGCTACCGAACGGGCGGTGGGAATGGATGGTGGTTCCGGCGAGGACCGTCCACCACGTGTCGCTGTCTGCTCTCCTCTCTCCGGCCGGCCGTGACTTTTCTTCCCCCGGGTACCATTCCAAAGCGTTGACTACGGAGACCACAAATCCTACAGACCATTTTGTGGATATAATGGATTTAATCAGCTATCAGCGCTCCGGTTGATAAAAAGAAGCATTCTTTTATGCTCATAAATAATTTCTTTTATTTTTTCTACAAAGGAATGTAACTACGATTGTGTATATTTATATATATATATATATTATATTTATACATGATTAAAAGATTAGTATTTCAAGGATAGAAAATGGGCAATCCTATGAGAAAAGGGCTCTATTTGTAAGTCTCACCCTATGACGGCATGGGAGGCCCGCCTCGTGGTGTAGGGCTTGCCCGAAGTTGGGATCATTCATTGACTTTGGGAGGCAGGATGACTGCTCAGCAAGGCCGTTGTCTCAGGTCAACAATGACCGCATTAGAAGAATCGGGTGTGTGAACCATTTTACGCACGATTTGGGCGTCACTGAGCAACGCACATGTGAGGGTGTTTAGTGGGATATTTTCAATTTGGGTTCTAATTGACATATTTAAATCGACCGCAGTTTAATAGGTCAGGATGAAAGGTTCGGGCATTCGTGACCCAGTCGGACTGCCGTCTTCAAGGGAGAGAGTTGACTTTATATCATCCGTAAGTCAACGACAATCCAATCGAAAGTTGACCCAGTTACCCCGATTAACAGTTTGTAAAGAAAAAGGGCAGCTTTTTTCTGCCCTCACGCTGAAAAAAATGCCCACCGCCCCCCCCCTCCTCCTGGAGAAGGGCCCCCAATTGGGTTGACTTTCTGGCTCTGATCAAATGAGCGGAGAGGATAACCCGGTCGGTACGCGTAGAGGATAACCTCTACGAATTTTGCATTCAATTAACTTATTTAATATTATATTCGCTACGCGTAGTTGAGATATTCCAAGTCAATAAATAAACGCAGGCAGATTTACGTTGGGGAAAGCCCGTCAAAGTACTGCAGTCTGATGCTTTTCCTATGACAACGACTGGGGTCAGGTGTAATCCTAATTTTCTTCCTTTACCAGGTACAAGATAAATGAAGTCGTCAACGGCTGAGATTTCAACTCTCTCTCTCTCTCTCTTCAGGGCCGACGACTGTCTCGTAGAGGTCCCTTCTACGTAAGATCTCCTTCTTTCTTCTCTCTCTTCTCTCTCTCGATCCTTGGCATTGATAAATACCTCCCGCCCGTTGACCGTTGGCATCTTGGCGACGACCTTCCTGTGGGCTTCTCTTATAGAGAGCATCATCATCATCCAACAATCCCAGAAGCGAAGTCTCCTCCTGTGCTGTCCCCTCGCTTCTTCTCCGTCTCACCTACTGCTCCTGCGGTGACAGAGGGGGGCGCCGCCGCGAGAATTATGGCGATGGCGAGCCAGAGAGGTCTCCCCGCCGCCGCCTTCCTCTTTCTCCTTCTCGCCGCTGTCGCAGCCCCGGTGACCTGCCGGTTCGTGGTGGAGAAGGGCAGCGTGAGCGTGCTCTCGCCGGAGAACCTCCGGGGCTCGCACAACGGCGCTATCGCCAACTTCGGCGTGCCAAATTACGCCGCCACCCTCGTTGGCTCCATCGTCTACCCAGACAAGGGCACCGACGGCTGCAACTCCTTCAAAGACCGCTTCAAGTCCCCGTCCTCCCACCCCGTAATCCTCCTCCTCGATCGCGGAGGTACTTCTACTTATTCATCTCCTCTTCAATCGGAAACATCTGATTGTTTTCCTGTTTGGGATGGATGCAAAGCTTTCTATCGTCGACGGCTCCTCGCTCTTCCTGGCTGTGTCAATATACTCTGATTCATCTCCCGATTTCGATATTTTCATTGAGCAGAAATAGGGGAGAATCCCGGCTATCTATCTGTTTCTAATTCCTTCTGTTCTGCGGACTGATCAGCCAGGGGAGCGAGTTCCGGTCGATTTTGGATCTACCTTCAGAGAATTTCTTCGCTCAATTCGACGGCTCTACCGTTTGACTTCTCTTTATTTCCGATTACCAGGCGTAATCAGTCTTCTTCTCCGCTCTTCCATCCGATATTTTTCTCATAATCATCAACTAGAAGATCGAACTGGTTCCCGTAAGTCTTCTCGCCGGCGAGTGGTCGGCGTCAGAGTTCCGCCGGATTCCCAGATTCCTCGTAGTTGTACCTCCCCAGACAGGGGAGTTTCTCCATCGAAAACCCAGGATCTCCATCGTCCTGCCGAAAAGTCAACCCCCCTTAAGAAGCCACCGGCATACAGCTTCCTTCCCCAACAGAGGCTCATGAAGAACCTCACCACGCGGTTCTTCCATCAGCCTCCCCAGCAGAAAAGTCAACTCTGGAAAGGAATCTCTCCACATCTGGATCTACCTTGAATTAGCTCACTAGCAACCCGAACGGAGTCTCCATCACCTTCAAGATGATCTCGTACCCACCCACCCCCCCACCCCCCGAAAACCTCTCCATCTGCTCGCTGCCACCATGACCGGGGTTGACTTTTGTGACGCGACTTGCAGAGTGCTACTTCGCCAAGAAGGCCTGGTACGGGCAGGAGGCGGGCGCCGCCGCCGTACTGATCGTGGACAACAAGGACGAGCCGCTGATAACGATGGACACGCCAGAAGCCAGCGGGTACACAGAGGATTACGTGACGAAGATCACCATCCCCTCCGCTCTGATCGAGTACCCCTTTGGGAAGGCCCTGAAGAAGGCGGTGGCGGAGGAGAAGAGCGGCGGTGGCGAGGTGGTGGTGAAGCTGGACTGGACCGAGTCGATGCCCCACCCGGACGATCGCGTTGAGTACGAGCTCTGGACGAACAGCAACGACGAGTGCGGGCTCCGATGCGACGAGCAGATCAACTTCGTGAAGAACTTCAAGGGGCACGCGCAGCTGCTAGAGAGGGGAGGATACACGCTCTTCACCCCACACTACATCACCTGGTACTGCCCATCGGCTTATCTGCTCAGCAGGCAGTGCAAGTCGCAGTGTATCAACAATGGCAGGTACTGTGCGCCGGACCCGGAGAAGGACTTCGGGAGTGGCTACGAGGGGAAGGATGTGGTCATTGAGAACCTCCGCCAGCTCTGCGTTCACAGGGTGGCTAACGAGACCCGCCGCCCCTGGGTCTGGTGGGACTTCGTCACCGACTTCCACCTCCGGTGCTCCATGAAGCAGGGGAAATACAGCATGAAGTGCGCCGAGGAGGTTGTCCTTTCTCTGGGTAATCAGGGTCAACCCTTCCTTCCCCCTTCTCTCTCCCTCTCTGACACTCTTTGTATCTCTATCTGTCTCTGTCTGTCTGTCTGTCTGTCTCTCTCTCTCTCTCTCTCTCTCTCTCTCTCCTTCTGTGATCCTCTTTATCTCGCTCTCTGTGTGTCTCTGAGTCTGTCTCTCCTCTCTCTCTCTCCCACTCTCTCCCTCTCTCTCTCTTTCCCCTGACCCAGACTAATCTATTGACCAATCTGTCTGTGTTCTATATGTCAGGTTTGCCGGGGGACAAGATCAAGGAGTGCATGGGTGATCCTACCAGGGACGCAGAAAACCCCGTGTTGAAGAATGAACAGGACCGCCAGGTGCTTTGATTTACTATTTAACGCTTTTCCTGCAATACTACTGCTTCTTTCTCGGCCACCCATCTCATTGCCGTTGACTTTGAATCGCATCTGGGTCGCGTCATTCAATAACGGCGAAGAACTCTTGTCTATCCAGGTCGGGAATGGATCTCGGGGTGACGTCACCATCCTGCCCACCCTACTGATAAATGACGTGCAGTACCGAGGTTGGTACCAATCCGGTTCTTGCTTCCATTTTTATCGATTCCAAAGGTGTCATCTTTCAGAGTCTCAAAAATTAATTCTGATTGAGCCATTTGATGTTGCTGTTCATGCGAAGATTCTGGGCGAGAATGAAGAAAACGTAATAATTTAAACGAAAAAATAAGAAGAAGAACCCAGGATAGCTCTTGATCCCAAAGCACGTGCTAATAATAAACCTCTATATCGGGACATGTTCTCGTTGACTCTTTTTGTTTCCAAGGTTTCAGCAGACGCTTTCCACTTTTTATCCCCGCCCTTCTTAAGAAATCTGAGAAGTCAACGTGCACACAAAGAGACCCTTCCCTGTTCTGAGAAGCTATTTTCTTTCTTGAAGGTCAACTGGATAGAACAGCCGTGTTGCAGGCAGTATGCGCAGGATTCAAGGAGACCACCGAGCCTCATGTTTGCCTGAATTCAGGTCTGCCTGCCTCCAATGATCTCCTGACGGGGCCTCCTGTGCTCTTACTTCCCCATTATTGTATCTTAATGCCTGTTTTCCTTCTATTCGCCCTTCCTGCAGACCTTGAAACGAATGAGTGCCTTGAAAATCATGGCGGATGCTGGCATGATTCGAACCTGAACATAAGCGCCTGCAAGGTATTTTGTCCATGACTTTATTGGAGTTCAATAAAGTCCTATTTTTTTTGATAAATTTCTTGTTGCCCTAAGGATTACTTCTTTGCCATGAACAGGATACTTTCAGAGGAAGGGTCTGTCAATGCCCAACTGTGAATGACGTTCATTACTCTGGAGATGGCTACACATCCTGCAGAGGTTCTTCTTTCTCACAGGACTCCAATTTTCTGGGCTAGGATTGTTGAATCATGTAGTTTCCTTCAAATGATATTATTTAAGATTATAAAATATTTTTTAATCTGAAAATGGGTCTATTAGTTGAATTAATATCAAAATCAATTTCCAGAGTTTGATTCTAATGATGTTGCATAAGATTCTGAATATGCGCTATGCGGAAATGAGTCTTTTTTCATTAATATCATGACATTTCTTACTCACGATTAAACTAAGACCCTTGGCATGAGTTATCCGAAGAAGAATCCGATTAAATTTATATATATATATATATATATATTTCAATTTTGTTGTTCTAATGATGTGATATAAGTTTGAAGATGAAAATTATCAGGAAATCAATCTAATTTGATTGCTATCATAATTTCTGACAAGGTCACCGCCCCTCCGGCCTCTTATTATCCGGATCCTCTGAATGCTTCATTCAAAAAATCTCAACTTTGTGGAATTCTAACTTTTTTGATCGTCTTTGACCAAATCCCAGCTGTGGGACCCGGAAGATGCGCGTTGAACAATGGAGGCTGCTGGTCTGAAACCAGAGATGGGAAAACTTTCTCTGCCTGCTCAGTTCTGCCTCTCTTCTCTCTACCCTACATGATTATATCGATATAATCAATCATATGCATAGGAATCTAAGCCAATTCCGGACCTCTTGATCCTCAGGAAAATGAGCTGAAAGGCTGTCGGTGCCCATCAGGCTTCTCTGGTGATGGCAAGCAGTGCACTGGTGAGTCTCTCGGGGCCAATGTGGCTCAAGAGATATATCCTCCTCTGATCATGATTGTGATTATGATTATGATGAAAGATTTATTCATTCCGGGGAGGATCTGAATCTGCAACAGATATCAACGAGTGTAAGGATGGTATAGCCTGCCAGTGCGATAGATGCTCCTGCAAGAACAACTGGGGCGGCTTCGACTGCAGTTGCAGAGGGAACTACCTCTACTTAAAGGGGGAGGACAAATGCATAGGTAACTGCGCACAAGGTTTTGAGAAAGTTTCAACCACCTCAACTAGCTCTTTCATACAAAAAATAATAAAAGAAAAAAGAAAGGTAACGGTTTTAGTAGATGTCTATCGTTGACTCAGCCGGGTTTTCCTGCGATCTTGCTCACACTGGGCTAGGTCGTAGGAAGCCTATTTTTTTATATTTTTCCGGATCTGTCGAGTCGTTTTTCCTTGATGGGGGTTGAACAGGTGCATGGGTAAAAAGCAGGGTATACTAAATTTGACAGAGGACAACAGGGATTAGCTTTCTACAAGCCCTTCCATTCAAAAAAAGAAATAAAAAGAAAGGAAAGATACAGAGACAAAAACCATTTTCAGTGGTTTTCTGTCTCTAAGTCAAATGGGTTTTCTCGCAGCCTTGCCCACAGTGGGAGATAGATTGGGCTCTTAAATCTTCTTCTTAAAAGTTTTCTGATCGCGGCCTGTCTTCTGCATGTTTTCTGATCCGGTGGTCAACGCAGCAGGGACAACCTCGAAATTCCCCTTGTACTTGATGGTCTTGTTCGTGTTCTGCGTTGGGGGAACCGGCGTGGCGGGCTACATCTTCTACAAATACCGGCTCCGGGTGAGTATCCACTCGTGCAAATAAATCTCCTGGAGGAGAGGAGATCCATCAATCGAGGGTGCTGACGCGTGACCCATTTCCTCTCTCCAGTCTTACATGGACTCGGAGATCATGGCGATTATGTCGCAGTACATGCCCATCGACAACCAGAGCAACGAGGTCCACCCTCTGATGCGAGAGTCCACTGTCTAAACGAGGTAATCTTCTTCTTCTTCTGCTCCTGCTTATTCTTCTTCTTTAATGTTCTTAACTATCTATACGTTACTCCTTGTAGGAGGACTGCTAGAGAGGCATGTGCAGGGGATCTCAGCGCTCGCCGTATGATGTGCTCACGGATCGTCGTCCGTATAGAAGAAGGAATTAAAAAATTTCTCTAAAAGAAAAGACTTAAGGCTATCCCCAGGTGTCGAGGAAATATGATTTTTTCTTCTCTTTCCCCATACTAGTAGTCTGTGTGCTGTCTCCTCTGTAGATACGCAGAAGAACACTGTACATTAGGTGCGAGGAGGAGCCGATAGTAAGAGCACCTGCAGAACTGAACAAGCCAGAATCATACATGTATCTTGGATATTGGATCTTTGACTTTGGTTTGGATTTCTCTGAAAGAAAGTCAAATAGGGTCGCAGAAAGCTCCCTTGTCTTGCTATTTTGGGTAATTTTTGCAAGATCTACTTACTGCATGGCATAACCCAGATACCATGCTCCCCAGCAGGCGTCTAGTAGCGAAGAAAAAAGGGTTATTTATTAATAGCTTCTGACATTATAAGAATGACAGAAGATTATTTCCTCTTTTTTCTGGTTTTGCCCAAAAATAGAGTTCTTAGCCAGAGAAGAAAAAAAAGTCAGCTTCTTTAAACCATTTTTCTTTCCTATATATATATATATATATATATATCATGGGGGCACTACTACCACACCTTTTCTCAACTTGGGAACATTTTACTAACCCGATCAGATGGCTGATTAAATACATATAAAAATAACAAAATGGATCAAAAAATTGCCACTGGGTTAGGGAGGATCTGTTTCGCCGCCGCAATTTTACCCAGCCCTCTTCAGCTCATGCCGTGGAATCCTCCTGCCTCATCCTCGTCCACAGCATCCTTGCGTTTTCTTTTCACCGATTTCTTCCGGGGGCCGCCCTGATCGCCGGCGGTGAACTGGGCCGCCGTCCTGGCACGGAGCTCCTCAAGAGTTTCTCCCTCCTTTGCTCGTTCTATGACCTACGAGGGGACGCGACCGGAGGATGTTAGCGAAGCTGCTCTGGCTTTTGCGCGGCGGAGGCTGCCGGAGATGGGGGGGCTGCTACTCACCAGACGGCGGCCGTAGAGGTGGGTGCTCGAGAGGGCGTGCATCGCATTCTCTGTCTCCTGCTTCGTGACGTACTCGACGAAGGCGAAGCCCCGGTGGTTGTCGATCCTCTTCGGCAATCTTAGCTTACGAACCTGAGAAGATGGGGAAGAATTACGGTCAACATATAGTTTAGGACGAGGAGGGGACTGTGGGTTGCTGTGTTTCTCTACCCGAAATGGAAATAATGGAAGAAAAAAGGAAACGAGGCAGCAAAATGAAAGGGAGTTTCGCTTGAATGGGTCTCAGACTGAAGCCAAATGCCCAGAATGTTTGGCAAAGAATGATAAATCATCTTCGGAGAACTGAATAGAAAAAATGAACCCAAATTCTACACCATGGACTTCAATGCATCAGTGGATAAAAACAAAAACTCAAGCCAGCAGAAGAAACTTTCATTGACATCGTTTCCTATTATCATCGAAGCTTTTTAGTTGTTTCAAATATCTCTATTTTAAAATCATCTAAAGGCCTGTTGTAACACAGAAATCGATACTGTGGGCTTCTTATCAAATTAATTCGTCAAAATGTTTAGGAGTTGGAAATTAGACATGCTAAGTAAAAGCTCAGAGAACTTTCTCTATACACAAAACTCAGAAACTTCAAAGACTAAGAAGTTTATAATATATGTTAAAAGGAAATAGAAGCTCAGACACTTCATGATTATTATTTTTTTCTGGGCCTTATCCATGAAATCTGAATCTTAGAGATTACATTAAAAAACATGCTTGTCAGTATCAGTATCATTGATTTTCAAGATGAATTACGAAATGGCTAGTTAAAATATATAGATCTTAAAGTACCTGGCCAAATGAACTGAATAGCTGTCTTAATTCCTTCTCTGTAGCCTCAAAAGCCACATTCCTAACTATCAGTTTTGTTGAGCTTTTATCTTTCTCATCCCTTTTTGGTGTCTGGTCACCTTTCTTGGCGTGGCAAAGTTGCAAGATGAGAGCATGGCCATCCAGAATTGTACCCTGCGGTAAGGACAAAATAGTTCAATGGTTTTCATGGAACAATTATACAGAAGAAGTGACTGAAGGGTCCAAGGATGTGGCCGCAATATTAACTTGGGAAATTATAATACCTGCAGCTGGCTGCACACATATGTTGCTGTCTCTAGAGACTCAAATTCAATGAAACCATAACCCATAGATACATTTTTCCCGTTTTTTATGTGTTTCTTCACCTGCAGAGGGAAAAGTGTGACATTAAGGAAAACGAATTCATGAATCTGTGGAGAGATTGAATGTCACAAAAATTTACCTTCACACTTCGTACAGCTCCCTTCTTAATATTGCTCACAAAATGGTTTTTTAGATCTTCATCAGATGTCCTAAAATTCAAATTCTTCACGAAGATCGATCGAGACTGCCAACAAAATCAGAACTCCAGTCAACAATTAAACAAGACCATAAAGCATCCAAACATAGACCAGGAATATACGATAGAAGTAGGTATATAACACAGCCAACACTTGGAGAGATTAGTTAAGAATATTCGCTTTGAAGTGTATTTCATACAACGGCAACATAAGTTTAAACATGAACAATAGTCCATTAGCGTCAGTGTTGATCGGCAACCAAAAGATCAGAGGATCAGAAAATCAAAGAAAGATGATTGTGGTACAGTCGCAGAGGATTCTAATATGAGGGCAGAGACGTGTGATTTTCAACTTTTCAAGAGAATCCCAAGGAAATGGATATCCCTAGACTTTCGGAATGAGAGGGTTATCAACTACAGAGGCGGGCCAGTGTTGGCGGAAATCAAGAGATGGAGCTACTCTCTACTTAGATAATGATATCCTCGCAGATGGAATTATTAGGCATCAAATGAAATGGCTTCTCTAATCTGAAATACTGTAGCCCATGGGAAGGTTAAGATTTTTGACGTGGAAGAAACACCCTCCGTAATCAGTCGTCTACCTTAGTAGTGGTATTCACGTTAGTTTCACCAGAGCATCACCGGAGCGCCTATTCATTCAAAGCGAGCTTCCACAAGAACTTGGCAGAAATTAAACCATAAGATAGGAGGAGCTCTGGTCATTGATATTGACGACGGATACCAAGTAGATGAACCGTTGGAAAATAGGCAAATTCGGTTAGTAGACCATGATCAATGATATCTGCAATAGGTTGGAGAGTGGTCTAGGCGTCTTTTGGCCTTCGGCACATTGGTGAAGACTATAGAGCTTCTGTGCAGGGGTTCCTTTCGACAGCACATTTAACCCTTTTTTCTTCTAATTTTCATGAATACGCAGTGCAATCCACGTTGAGGAAAGGAAATCTACCACAGATCTCTTATGCTATCTTAAATATTTCCCACTAGAAAACCATATGGTAAAGGGAACGCAGATAGCCCCAATGACATATTTGTTCTTAGAAACATTAAAGAATCGTATTGAAGACAAGGATGATGAAAAATGGAAAAACAAAGGTTTGAAAACAAATGGAACATTTCAGAATGTGGGTACACAGAAACAGAGGAACAAAAGGAACGAGAGAGAGAAGGTTGACTAGAAGAGAAACAACTATGCAGACCTTTTCAATTTATGCCAAGAAAATGGTTAAGCCTACAAGATGAAGGCCAAAAGTACACAACCACGCTTATCTGACTAGCCCAAGACAGGTACTTCCACCGTGATAAAAGGATTCGAGACCATAAAATGTTTTCTTAGACACAGAAGAAACATGAAATCCGAGACAGAAATACATGGGAAAGAAAAGAAGCAAATAGACTAGAAGTTTGAACAGCAACCAATTGATGACCTCTAAACAAAAAGGGAAAAAAAATTCAACAAAAAGATGACCATGGGTTGGCCAATCCCATGAACTTGAACAGTCTAGATGATGCGAAAATTTTAGCAAACGTCCTTGAGATACACAAGCATGCCATTGAAAATTCGAAAAGAAATATGTTCGGCTTGCAAAAGCTTCTGCATCCGAGGTTCATCAAAAATTTGGACATCTCTCCCTGACATGACTCCTGTTCTTCAAGGTTGGGTAATTAAACAAAAAAATTATTTGATGGCATTAAAGCCTACTCTTTCTTAACAGTAGTAGTCTGCTAACAAACATGTCTTCACATCAAAGTTTTACAGGCCTCAGCACAAGAGTTGCAAGGCTTTAGGGAGAAACCTAATCCTCCTAATTTCGTGCCCCTTTGCTCACTGCAAAGCTTGACTCTTACAACTGAAAAGCAGCCTTTTCTGAATCTCTATAATCTCCTTCCCCGAATCCAGTACCTCTCTCCCCTGAACTTTTCTTCCCTTCATTACTGCCTCTAGTGGCAGGCAGTCATTACTCGAGAACAGCAACAGTAGTGGACTCACCCAGCAACACTATCCTTGATCACCAACACACCGTTGTGTAAGCAAAGCTTCCATTATACTTGTGCCTGCAGTCAGGTCACCCATAACTTGCAGGTGGCAGACTGCACCTAAACATGGCAATAGTATGTTGTTGAGAAGGGCAAACGTCCTCACTTCCCTACTATCATCTCCATCCACCAAGCTCTCCCTGCTCTTCAACCACTCATCCTCTTCCCAACTGCCCCCATCTCTCGTCCCAACTCAACCCCCAACACAGAGCTGGTGGTTCATCACCATTCTCACTTCTACCCGTCAGTCCCTCCCTTTCAAAACTTCCTAAGTCTGGCACTCGTGCTTTAACAGATGCACATCTCATCATAAACTAACGATGTTATGTGCAAACTTCCTAAGAACACCTCTCAAAAGATATATTTATACAAGAGTTTAAAAATGAAACTAGAAGAAAAGGGTCCCACATTAACGTTACTAGTAGAGGTATAATTGTCTCATTAATTAGACCAAAACAGTTGTACCCCAGTGGACGTCTGCGCCCCTGTTAAATGAATTTCAGACCCAAGTAATCGGGCCCCAATACCCAACATGTTCTGGAGACAGTCCCTTCACCAAACTGAATTTTGGAGGACAAAAGGTCCTGTAAATTAGAACAGCACAACATATTCTTTCTAAGAATGAAAACAATATTATGAACCAAGTCCAATCATGCCTAAAAGATGTCGCCATGCTCTGCGAATATAGCACTCGTCTAGTCCACTTAGTTTATGTTCCAACTCATGACATCAAAAAAAGAACAGAAATATATCAACCTCTGTAACAACGTTTTCCCCAGAAATATGTCGTTCTTATAATGATCAAAGAGGAGAATAGGTCATGAAATCCCAAGAAAGATTCGTCCATTTATCCAATGAAAAAAATACAAGCGGATTTTAGACCCTGAGGTATGCTGTGCATTTGTCCGAAAGAAACAGAATTTATGCCAACCTGTTACCCAATTCTGGCTAGATATGGTCAAATCTCAACTTACAGATGATCCAACAAACGAATAAATAAAAAAGGAGTCTTATAGGATAACCGAAAAAAAATGACATTTCTTGAATCCTTTGTTTCCTCCAACAAATTCTAAGTTAACCGAACTGTGACGAGGACAATAAATATAATATAGGATTCATAATATTTTCCACCGAATAAAATTCTAATACGTTTCTTTATAACAAAATCATTATTAATCGTATAGTTTGATGACACAGGCAAGAACTCATAGAATGATGAAGAAAAATGCCAAACCTCAACCCTCTCTGGATCGATTTCTCCTTCAGGCATTTGTTTCAGGCTTTGCTCCAATACCACTCTTGTAACTTCTTCTCTGCCAACAGCATTGTCCTGTTTGTCCGTTTCTGAAACAGGTTTTGAAGACAAAATATCTCCAGGAGCCCATTCCAGATATAAGGGACCATCCCTACATTAAAAAAATAATAATAAAGAGATTACATCAAGCGTCCTTTGAAATTTTTTTCAACATATGGCAAGAGTTGATTGAAAGACCACCCAATTAAGTCATTAAACGAAATTGCAACATCAATTAATCACGATATAAGAAATCCTAGCATCTTTTTCTGTCACTCAAAAGATTGTTGAGGTTTTTCTAATGCAAACGTACAGGATAACTGGTGTCATTTCTTAGTGTTAACAAACTACAATGGGAAACACATCACAGGAATCATAAGAAAACTAGAAACAGCAGAGAAATTAGGAAATGAGTATGCACTACCAAAGGCGCTAAATCAGTTAGGTCTCCCCTGGCCTATGTCAAGGCAATTGTTATTCAACACCTTTCTCCAAGCCAAATGGAGAACTTGATCAAGTTGAGGGACATGTGATTCGATTGCATTCTTTTGTCAGGTCAGTTGTGTTTACTAGCCTTCAATGAGAAAAAATATGAAATAATCGGCGTTAAGGGGAAACGGTCAGGCTGTTATAGTGTACAAATCACAGATAGAAAAGAAAGTGAGTTTTAAAAACTGAAATATTACGGTGGTTTGTGCAAGGAAAAACCGTACAAAGACTAGATATAAATAAGCACTAGGAAAATCACGATTAGAACTTTTCCAAAGTATAATAATTTACTTATAACGTTTATACGCCAAACCCTTGAATGCTGCTCGAGCCTCAGCCGATTCAAGAAAAATAACCTGCCATAGCATGGAAGAGAATTTCAGAAGAAAAGCATAATTGCTCATAAGAAAAGAATGTTATCAGATCAATTACAATCTTATTAATTCAAATGAAAAAACAGTAGAAAACTAAAATAGCAGAGAACACCAATAAAACTTGGATGAAGAAAGAGGATGCAAGATTCCTGTATTGTGATTTCGTCATAAAACAATGCCTCATAGTCGCGTGATAGAAATCCCCAAAGACAGTCAATTTAACCACTACAATTTTGGTACCTGGCAGATCTCGGAAAGACTCCCAAATGTTTCTTCATTGGAGGTGTAATGAAAGCTGCGTACTACCTTTCGCTAAAATTCAAATCCAAGGGAAATTTTAATGGTTGCTACTAGTTACATCAGCCCAAGCAGAACAACTTAAAAATCGCTTTAAACAGTTCCTATTGTCATGGGGTAACATAAAAACGTGCCTCTGACAGAAACTAAATGACCAGGTGCCTAGAACTATTTAAAATAACAACCAAGCCAGGGAGATTTTGAAAATCTCCCTTGCTTGGTTATAATACATTAGGCCCATCGGCCATACTGTCAACGTGATATTTTGATGGTGTAAAGCACATCACTATGAGAATGAATATAAAGGATGCCATTTACCTTGCTTACATATAACCCACTCGACCCTCCTGTTCTTCACCCCAAACAACCAACTTGATATTGATGGCGTGAAGCCCATCACAACGAATAAATATGGCATGAGCCTAACTTACAATCCACTTGGCTCTCCTCACACCCGAGGTCCTTCATTTTCTCTTATAGAAGAAGCTGCTGAAAACTATCTGAAATTTCACCGTTAGTCCCTGGCTATGTTTTCTGATAGGGAAATTACACCAATGGAGTAACTTTTATATCGGAAGGAAATGCTCTTGTACTTGGACAACGAATTGAAGCAATGTAAACCCCTGTAGAGACAAAAGTGCTTCCAGATCGAGCTAAATTCAAACCTCAGAACCCGCATCCCAGGTCAAGTAGAATAAAGGCTATGATCGGTTGATTGGCCAAATGTTATCGGAAATTTAAGAAGTGTGGTTCGTCATGATTAATATGTTTTCTCAGGATACAAATGGCTGGTTAAACATGATGATGACTACACATTAATGAACAAGCACAACACGAAAAAAACAAAGGCAAATGAAGAGTTGACTTGATAGCTGGAGTGGACGGTAAAAAAACCATTACAAAGGCTTTCATAAGATCACCAAGCAATCAAATTAAGGAACACAAACATTTTTTTGGACAACACCAGATATTTCGCGTAGAGAAGTACCATATCATACAATGCCTGAATTTTAGCCTAACATCCAAATTTGTCCTTATTCAAGTTAGGATTTTATCAAAGATATTTTTCATGACTGAACTCACGGAGGACCCCTATTCGAAAAGACAAAATATCGTCAAATAAATAGCCAAAAAGCTGAGTTAAACAGAAAAAAGATTCAAAAGTTAAGCCCTTCCATATCCAACAAGAGAATGCAGCTTCCCCCGAAGTAACCTCTCGACAAACAGTAGATGCCAGAAAATTCAGACAAACTTTCCTTAACACCCTATGAACTTTTCTAGCTCCACACGGAACAACACATAGTCTAGGAAGCAGCCTTCAGCATGTCCTACGACTCAAAACTCCTTTTCAGGCCAAACTTCCAAGGGACATCAAGAAAACAATCTCTTCTAAATTTGAATTTCGTTTGGCAATTATACTTATCTCTTTTCAGTAACTTATAAACAAAACCGAGAACATAACATGTGAAAAATTGACTACATCCGAAAAATCAAAAGGGCAAAAACATTCGGCATGTTGGAAATGGGCATGGTGAAACATGTTGGGCCCTTCCTTAGATGATGACAAATAAAATTTAAAAGCAAAATTAGATGATATATAGATGGTATACAATTGTTTGCTGGTAATGATGACCTGGCCCAATCACAAAACATCGCAATAAAAAACAAGTAGACACTACAAAAATCCCTCAATGACAAGTCGCATGGTCAACCAACAAAAATATGGCAGGGAATAAGACCCCCTGCACAATCAAATGAAAGATGAGAGCTGAACCACGAAGGATACGCCATCAATATTCTTAAAGGAGGTTTCAGTTCATCCCCTCCCTGATGGTCACCCGAAACTCCCCCAAGGTACTAAACAGGAGTACAACTGTCAAAGAACTTAGAGTGGACTTAACCTAACTGTGGTGCGTATGTCACAGGGTAACCTTCAAACTTTGTACACAAAAAACTAGCACTCATCCAAAGGCTTCAAAAACAGTATAAAGGTCGTAATAGAAGCTAAATCCAAGGGAATACACTTGATGGACAGAAATTAGCAAGTGGGATCCACTATTGCAATCTTTCCTCGTGGAAAAGGGCATCTAAAGGGTAAACTTTTGAATGGAAATGCTATCAAAATTATTGGAGTGAATGCTTACCCTAAAGTATTTACAAGTAATTAACTGACAAAATAAACATTGATAATTTAAAATTTGAAAAAAAAAATAGCATTAGGATTTAGGAAGTGACGAATTGCAAGAATTTCATACCAGAGCTAGTGTTTTGGTTGGAGGAAGAATGATCTTATCTAAACTTCCAAATTTACCGAACATTTTGGTGAGATCTCCTTCAGAGGAACTGTAAGGCAAGTTTTTCACCAAAATCACATGATTGCTTCTCCGAACACTGCCCTTTCCAGAAGCGAACTCCTCAAGAGCAGCAACATTAACTCCAGCACATTTCAAAGCCTTTTTTGTCTCTGCTATCGTATGTGTTTCTGCCAGGGCAATGCGTACAGCAAGGTCATCTGCTTCTTTGTTCAGTACATCGCTCTTATCAATACCATATTTTCTAGCAATGTTTTCAACAACCTATCCAATATTCACAATGATTGTCAGGAAAGTTTTACAGACAATTTACAGTCAGAAACTTGCATAACCGGAATTTCATTAGTACAAAAACATTTGAATATTGCAACACATTTTCAAAAATACGAAAGAGAACCAGAGTCATCGCAATTTTCAGTTGCTCAAGTTTTAAGAAAGAGATAACGTGACTTGGAAACGTGGTAAAACGGAAAAACCATACCCAACAAATTAAGCATCAGTTACATCGCAGCAATCAACTCATGAAGTAAAAGGAGCCATCACATGCTAAGCAATGCCTGTATCAGCACTCGAGAGGTCATAACTTCAGGGTAAACAGAGTAGAGTTCAAAATCTATAATACTGTTATAGTAACAGACAGTAGACAAAAAAGATAACTCCAGGCGCCAAGAACATTCAGGTGACGAAAACATAATATGACTCGAGAAGGACATAAGAATGATTTATATCTGGGTCGTGAATATTTGAGGCGTGAACAGTGATTCCACTTCTTTATTCTTCGTTTTTGTCCATATTAACGCAGCGGACTCACATGCAAATAGGATTCCACTGAGAGGAACATATTAGATTTCATAAAATGGAAAATAAAGGAAAAGTGGGAAAATGAGTTTGGTGTGTTGGGTGGGGTGAGGGGGGGAGTTGAAGTGATGTTCTGAGTTGAAGGAGCACTTGCCCATGTTCCAGTCAGCTATTTTCTTATTCCTCAGTGTGTCTAAATGATAGATGAAGCTCTCCATTGAACAGTCGAACACAAAACAAAATTCATTCATTTTTGAATTTCCATTCATATGTGGAATAACTGCCAACAGACGACAGTATCAATTTGAACGAAGAGACAACTGAGGACGTGATTGGTGATAGCAGATACAGTTAAAGGTAGAGACTCAGGTAGTGACCCATCACTATTCCCACAGTATCCGATTGGAGATTGCTAACCCCAATTCTGAGTCTCGATCCAGTCATTCTACATGACTCACACCCTCACTGGAACCTCCTTATGCCCACTCTATTCCTCATTGCCTTGCATCCCTGTATGCAACTTCCCACCATATGCCTTTACTCGATACTTTTTCGGACAAATAATAAAATTCTCTTTTCCTTCTGTCGAGAGTTACAATAGAAGGAATGCTTTTCTCAATCTAAGTTCAAAATGGGAGGGACTATATCCCACCCATGCCCTCTCTCATGGGGGATTTCATGCACATTTTTCTTCCAAGCAGAATCCTTGCTAGACACTTGCTAGATAATGTCTATCACAAATTTTAATTCTTTCCAGAACCTACATTGCCCAGATTAAAAGTATAAAAACCTCAGGCACTGGTATTGCATCTACTGCCTCTGATTTGAGTAAAATGAAGCTTTTTATTTCGAATGGCCCCTCAGTTTTCAGTCATCACTCTTGTAGTTATATAAAAATGAATTTTTATTTCATCCATTGCATTTGAGGGATAGCATCCTCCCTCTTTGGTTGTGTCATATTTACATCTAACCTATCCTTTATAGTTTAGGATTCAGTGGAACCCAATGGAATAGGAAAAAGTTCCTCAAAGCTCCAGTGGCTCATCATCCTTCTAACTGCAGCCATTGAAGAACCTCCAAAAAGTTTCATCAGAGCTTGTTCAGAGTCAGTATTCAAGCTTACGATAACACAATCAGATACAGTCTGTTCTAGCAGATATTATACCTGCGCCAGTAAACTGCCTATTCCTATTCATCTGAGCATCAACACAAAAACAAGTCTCACTCCAGCTACAGATAGCCAAAAATCCATTGCATAGTTTGGCAGATGTTCAGCAGCTTCTTCTCTTGTATATTTGCCTGCTTTGGGGATTTCCTACTCAATATTAAACAATGCAACCCTAAGAATCCGGTCAGTTTTCAATGTTTCAAATCCTCGTTAGCATAAGAATCAGATAAACCATATATTTCACAGCTGGAAAGAGGATTATATTATTCTAAGAATGTTTTAGCAAGAACTAGTGCAACTCAGACAATCCTGGTCTATCCAGAACTTTATCAACTCGAAGTGAGTAGGAATAATCCGAGTCTTGATATAGCAAAGGATCAGTCATCATACCCATATGACCATGCCCTAGGACATGAAATAGCAGTAAGAGATAGCTGCACAAATTTTCTTACTCTAACAATAAGTTAGCCTTTTGTGGAACAGTTTGCAAATGGATACGAAATATACAGCTTACACCATGGATAAGAAGTATACAGTATCTTGACGAATGAACAAACTGTTCCATGCTCGTGTATCACCACTAGATTCTGATGCCTTCCTCTGTTCTTCACGTTTCTGCTTTAAACTTAGCGGAGGATTAGACCTGGAGATTTAAAGAATAGAAAAAATGATAAATCAAACACTGAGCGACATAATTAGAAAATCTGTTACAATGGGCATATTCTTTCTTACTCTTGTCTTTCAACAGATGGGTTTTGTGGTTTTGCACACATAATATGTAACAATCTCCCTTGAAAAATTGAGTTGTCTAGTTCTTTTAACGCCCTGCAGAAAGAGTTCACTACACTATTTAGATCTCATTTGTTAGTAGAAGTGGACATCATGAGGAGGAAGGCATACAACTAAGCTAAGAGAGACAATTATAGCCTAAATTATTCAACAAGCCAAAAAATTGAGTCACGGAAGCCCATTCGGATCTATTCAAAAGAATCCATCGAATTGATGGTCCAGACCTAGAGTGATATAAAATGAGAAAGAGAACATAATTCAGAAGTATAATATCAGAACCCCGTCTTGCTCCTAAATCATTAGCCTAAAGCAGAAAAAAATTTAGTTGCTATCCAGGAAATTTTAGAAGCCCACCTTGATGCAACTGAACCTCATTTGCCTGCTATCATCTCACTCAGGTTCTATCAAAGAATCAAAGCAAGATGTACTTGACGAGCTTCTTCTAAACAGTTAAAAGAAAATAACAAAAAACATAAAATTAAAAAACGTCTAAGAAAAGTGAGACACTAGGAACCCTAGACACAAACTGGCCCGATGTTAAATATTCGAACACTGTTAGGGACGTGATTCTCCCCAAAGTCCTAATGATCGCTGTCACTCTAATGGACAATAGTAAACATCAGGAAGAAAATTGTACCATCATTTTCATTAGGAGGAAGAGGATGACTTTAGGTGGAGGATGCTAACAATACAAGCATGTAAAAACGATGGAGAAGAACACTGGTAGAAATGAGACACAAAAACAACATGCGCCACAAGGCAGAACATAAATTAATCAAAATGGCAAAGAACAAGACTTTCTAGATCTAATCGGTTTCTCAGATATCTGATCCTGATTCAGGTCACATTAGATTCTCCACAAAAGAGTAAATAAAATGAGTATTTAGAATATAGTTTTCATAAATCACCTAATTAATAACAATAGTTTCGTAAAAAAAATTTGGAACAATCCTTGGAGGAAAAAACAGTGAAATTGATAGCACTTACAGCTTGCAACAGCTGTATTCTGTCCCCTTCTTCACCTTACTATGTTACTAACAGGACATCTCCCTCTATATCCTAAAATTCAACGTTCAATAAAATATTCCTGAGGCATCCAACAGCAATGCCAGCAGTTCCACCTTCGTATCCATCTTCCATCTCCTTCTTGCTTTTTTTATGTTGCTGCCAATGTAACTAAGCATTGGTTCAACAATAAGCCTTTCCCCATTACCAAGAACTATGTAGACAACTTATTATGTTCTCTTGCAGAGACATCAATTTTTTAGGGTTTGATGTTATAACATTTCTATCTTTTGGTTAGTCTAAGGTATAATCAGCGGTCTTATTCAATTAAATTAGAGTTAACTGTCAAGGATACAATCAAAAACTTCGGTAATGGAGAGTAACATGGGAATTCATTTAACTTACGCCTCATTTTCCCCATTTTCTAATGAACAACTAGTAATTCCCGCTCTTAAATCATCAAGAAAAAGGGGGCGAAATGTAGCATGCTAGCTAATGAGTTAGCAGCGATTCTAACGTTAATCAGCGATCAGTATGTCCCTTGCATGTCATGTTGTGTGATTTTCAATATCATCAGTAAAAATAGGGAAAAGGGGAATAGGAGGGCAAGACAGGCATTTCAACCAGCTTCTTGTGGATAGTCATCATCGATCCACTGAAAGAATGTTAGCAGCAATTATAACGTTAACCAGTGATCAGTCTGTCCCTTGCATGCTATCAAGTTGTGTGATTTTCAATATTATTAGTAAAAATTGGGAAAGGAGAATAGGAGGGTAATACAGGCATCTCAACCAGCTTCTTTTGGAAATTTTCTTTGACCATGAAGCAATATCTAAGGAATATTATAGATCGCAGATAATGCAATAGAATTTACTTATCAAAATGAAATCCAAACGCCAAATGCTTAACACAAAATAATGTACTGACTTCATCATGTTGACGTATTGACAGCTCACATATTTGGATTCACCGAAAGAGTAAAAGAAAAAGGAATGGATCAGCAAATTTCGTTACCTAGCTGCAGATTCCAGATGCACATAGTGTACATAGCCAATACCTTTTGATCGTTTAGTATCCTTGTCCACGACAATGTGAACTTGTGAAACATCACCATATTTACTAAAAAGGTCCATTAGGTCGTCTTCACTAGTTCCACACAGCCGACAAATAAAATTAAAAGAGAATGAATTTAGGGTTTACAAAATCAATTTATTGTAACATAGAAAATCACATGGTTGAGTTTTTGTGTTACCGTACATTGTTGTGTATGGCAGATTACGGATAAAGAGGCGACCAGTGTTGCAAGGTGTTTCATCATAATCAGCACGGCCTGAGTGGATGTTCTCGTTTTCATCCTGACCCCTAGCTGAATCTTCTTCTAAATTAACCCCATCATTGATCCCATCTATAGGCCTAGCTTGTTGGCCACCAACAGACGTTTCATTCCCTTTTACGATCATTTTTTCGCTTTCTTCAGCTTCTATGTTGTCTTCCTCATCATTCTCAGAGTCAGACCAGGTTTTCTTGATTCTACTTTTAAGGTAATCCATATCTGAGATGACTTCATCCTGTACTGATTCGTGTATTTCACTCTCTGTTGAAGTATCAGAATTCTCATCTTGTGTATTTCCAAATGGTAGTCCCGGATCTGTTTTTGTTCCCCTCTTGCTTTCATCTGCAACGCTAACCCCCTTTTTGGATGCTTGCTTTTCGGAACCTTCACTCAAAAGTGCTCCTTTCGCTTCGTTTGGGCCACTTTTATCCGCAAAAAGGAATGATTCCAGAGTGTCATTAGCCCAAAACTTTGACTTGGCTCTTGGCTGCATAATTTGAAGAAATTCCTGAAGCCGAGGATCATCACTTAAACTAGTCTTGGAAGCTTTTGCCGTCTCATTTACAGTTCCTATTCCTTTGGACTCCAAAAGAGTCCTGGTATTAGCATTTTGGTCCTCTGTTACAACGTTATTTGCATTCACCTGGCTGTTCTTCTTAGCTGAATACTGACTCCAAGGCCGTGGAATGTTGGGATCACCAACTTTGTGAGCAACCTAAAACGACACAAGCTAAGGTAGGTAAGAACAGCTCCAACAGGAGCGTCTCCTCTTCCAAGAACAAGCTGATGAGGAGAGCTATTGTGCACCAATACAGTCATTCTAGGTGCTCTCAAAATAACCAAATAGCCAAAGGAACAAAGTAAAAAATAGTAGCAAGTATTTTGACATTGAAAGCGCACAGATATGAGCATTATAAGTATAGATGGGCGAAGAGATATTTATCTTAAATAATAGCTTTGGGAAGCGACTTTGACGGCGAATAGATTCACTCCTTTAGTAAGATAGAAATATGTTTTATACGTTCATTAGGGCAACTTTGTATTATTGGTTAAGAATTTCATAATACCAGGCCATGTTTTGAGGGTTGACAAATAGAACCCCCTGCGGTCTACAGGATAAACGTCCTTTTTCCCCCACAAAGATAAAAGTAAATAAATTCAACTCAAAGATGGGATAACATGCTTCACCACCAGTAGTATCCTTCATTTCCTATAGAACTTTCGTGGCTAAGTGTGTTAATCCACTAATATCGAATTAATATTAAATTTCACGAATAAGACATCAAATAAGACCGTTAAGACAACAAATAATGCGGTCAAGGCACTAAGGAGACCAAGGCGTGCGGGGCTGGAAAGGTCGCTCCCAGGACCCGGGATAAACCTTCCTGTGGTACCTCTCTTCCTAGGCATCACCATGAAAACAGCCCATAAACTGATGATGCAAGCCAGGTTTCGAGAGGTAAGAAGGAACATAAAATTCAAGGGATAGAACGTATACTTTAATTTCTTCGAGGACTAAAAAAGAAACGGGTGAGAAGAGTGGGTGAGGGAGAGACAGAAAAAGGGAGCAGAAATACCTCACAGGTGATCCGGCATGTGTCCAGATAGGTATTATTGAAGAACTTAATGGCCTCCTCGGCATCTTGATCAGTGCGGAATCCAATGAATGCGAACCGCCTGCTCTTCCCGTCCCTGAACAAAGAATTTCATCAAAATACACCAGATACATTGCCATACACAAACGCATTAACGCAAGTAAACCGGAAACCAAGGAATTTTTCTGGGCATTTTGCGAGTCATAATCGGTTTCACTAGGACGCTCAAACTTATTTACTTGGTGCGCATGAGCTTGGCATCCGTCACCTCTCCCTTTTGGGAGAAGAAATCCCGCAGCCGCTCCTCGCCCACGTACTTGGGCAAGTTCTTCACGCATAGCCGGGACCTGAAGAAGCCCACCACCACGAAACCCGATCACCATCACCAAAACATCAGCAACACCAACAGCAACAAAAGAGACCACCCCGAAACCATCATCATCAGCAAACAGTCACAAGGAGCCCAACCCGAACCGAAGCATGGCCAATGCAGAGGAGAGATAGAAGATGCAGGAAGAACGAAAGGCCGGCGAACTCACATCACTCCTGCGACCCCGGCGACGCCTCGGAAGAGCGAGCAGCCCGCAGACCACCGCCGGATGGCGGACCTCGGATATCGTCGAACGCAGGACGCCGGATGATCCCCGGCTCCACCGGGAGGCGGAGGAGAGCAACAGACGCAGTGGAGGCTGGTGGCGCCGCCGTAGAGCTCGTCCTCTAGGTCAGGTAATGGCTCGCTCGGGCCCGAGCCGGAACGAACCGCCAGATGCGGTCTACTATCTCGCGTTCTAGCTGTCCAAACTACGTGGCTTCACCAAATCAACCACCTTCCCTTTTTTCAGTGGTGGGGCCCACAATTTTCTTCTATCTCAGGCGTTCTTGTTTCTCCCTCTACTTCATAAGAAGATGGCTCCACTATTCACAACCATGAAGGAAAAACTAATTATGACGTCATCCAGTGGCGATTTTCATACTCCTCGATTTCCGCCGAATTTCGGGCGGCATTATAAGTTATTTATTTATTTCATTATTCAATGTATGTAATTTATTTGTTGTAAAGGGTTTTAGGATCTGACTTTAGGGGAGGAGACTTGAATTGAAATGTTGAAGTCAGAGTACCTTCGATTCCTGATCCTTTGTTTTTTAGGTCTCGAATCGAAAGTTCGGAATCAAGTAGGACTGATTTTTAATTTTCCAGACGCCATTGTTACTTGAAAGTTTTTTTTTTCTGACATCTGATTTATTGATTAATCACGGTATGCCCTTCTTCCAGGTGGCGGCAGCGTCAGTGGTGAAGACGGCACGCAAAGTCAACGGCGAAATCATCTGATTCTCGATTCGCCCGCGGGCAGGGATGAGATGGTAGCTTGGCCACAGAAGCTGCGGAGTCTCTACGCGTTCTTCCTACCAAAATTTGCTCAAACAAATTAACCAATTCCAAGGGCGGCGACGGCGGCAGCGGCGGCGGCGGCGGAGAGAGCTCTGTCAGAAGTCAACGGCGGCGGGTCTCCCTCTCGCTCCCATCCCCCCTCACTTTCTCGCGCGCCTTGCCTCTCCTCGATCAGTAGCCGTAACCTGCCGACGACAAGAGAGAGGGAGAGAAACGGAGAAGACCGTCAGACCAAGCGGAGAAGGGGCGGAGATGGCAGCGGCGATGGGAGGAAAGACGAGAGAGAAGGGACCTACCGGAGTTGTCCATGGGGTTGGCGGCGGGCAGCGGCTCAGGCTCTTTAATGTCAACCACGACCACGTCGGACGTCAGGAAAGTCTTCGCCACCGACGCCGCGTGCTCCAGGCAGCACCTCACTACCTGCTCCCCAGATTATTCGAACAAGTCAATGATGGCAGATCTTCAGACAAAAACTCAAGGATGGCGGATTTTCAGACTATTTTCTCACCTTGGTTGGGTCGATGATTCCGGCGGCCATCAGATCCTCGTACTTGCCCGTTGCGGCGTTGTACCCGAACCTCGGGTTGTCGCTGGCCAGCACCTGCAGACCACGAGCGGCCATTTCTCCTCCTTGGTCAACGATCGCCAGAGATAGAAATAAAGACAGACAGAGAGAGGGGATGGAGTTTACCTTCTCGGTGACCACGCTTCCATTGACGCCGGCGTTCTTGGCGATCAGCTTCAGTGGGTAGCTGAGAGCCCGCTTGACGATATCTGCTCCGACCTGAACGAAGAGGAAGACATCAGGAGAAGAGAGAGATAGAGAGAGATAGAGATAGAGATAGAGAGAGAGCGAGAGAGAGAGAGAGAGGAAAGCGACCTACCTTCTGCTCGTGATTCTCCAAGGTATCCTTGATGGCGTCAACCTTGGCCGCCAGCCGGAGGAGAGTGCACCCGCCGCCGACGACAATGCCTTCCTCCACCGCCGCCTGTGAAGCCAAAGAACCAGGGGAGACTCAGTCAGAAGCTGGAGCTCGAAAACTGAAACATGCCCAGATGAGGAAAGGAGGAAGGAGAGCCGTTGTACCTTTGTGGCGTTGAGGGCGTCTTCAACCCTGAGCTTCTTCTCTTTCAACTCGGTCTCTGTCTGAGCTCCCACCTGCACAGAAGAGGGAAACAGTGTGGGTACACGAGAAGAGAGGAGAGATTTCAGAGGATTCTCATGGCAGAGAAGGGATGGAGGGAACCCTAGAAGCACCTGGATGACGGCCACGCCGCCGGAGAGCTTGGCAATTCTCTCGTTGAGCTTCTCCTTCTCGTACTCCTGCTCAGCCACCTGAAGAAGACGCCCAAAACCCCATCAGCAGAAAGTCAATCAAACATCCAAGTGGCCAATTACAGAAAGTGTATTTAGGCGGCACCTCGATCAGGTTGCGGATCTGCGCGACGCGCTTGGTGACCTCCTCCTGGGTGGTTCCATCGCCGACGATGGTGGTGGCATCCTTGGTCAACACCACCTTCGCCGCCAGCCCCAAGACATCCTTGTCCGCCTTGTCCAAGGAAAGTCCCACCTCCTCTCTGATCACAGTCGCTGCACATGAACAGAAAAAATCATTCCTCCCTAGATCTTTACAAGAGAAGAAGAAGAAGAAGAAGAAGAAGAACCAGTCACGATTTACAGTCGCAGAGGGCGGGGGGTTCACCTCCGGTGAGGATGGCAATGTCGTCAAGGTACTGGCTCTTGCGCTCACCAAAGCCGGGGGCTTTGAGGGCGGCGATCTTGAGGGCCCCTCTGAGCTTGTTCACGACGAGGGTGGCGAGGGCTTCCTGCTCAATGTCCTCGGCGATGATCAAGATCGGGTATCCTCCTCTGATGGCATCCTCGAGGACGTTGATGAGGTCCCTGGCGTTGGTGATCTTCTTGTCAACAAGAAGCAGCTGCCAGAGAAGAAGAAGAAGAAGAAGAAGATCAGAAAGCATGAATAACGAAGCTGCAAAAGGAAGGGCCCCTCCAGAAATTAATCAATGGCACCGAACCTTGCAGTTCTCATATTCGATGGACATCTTCTCACTGTCGGTCACGAAGTACGGAGAGATGTAGCCACGGTCAAACTGCATTCCCTCCACGACGTAGAGGTTGTTCTCAGCGCTCTTCCCTTCCTCCAGTGTGACCACGCCCTTCCGGCCGACCTTACTCATGGCTTCTGCGATCATGTTCCCTATTTCGTAGTTGTTACCGGCGCTGACAGCAGCAACATCAGCAAGCTCACTGTCTTCAACCTGCGACACACAGAAAACCAAACCACGATGACCCACCTCCACTTTACTAGCTAAAAAGTGACGAAACAAGCTCCATCTTGGTGGATCCTCCAAGAAAGAAGCAGAGAAGAGACAAGCACTATCATATGGTGAATCCTCGAATGCAAACGTTAAAGAATGCAAGCTCTATAATGGTGAGCTGGAAAACTAAGATGCATAAAAAGCCAGGCTCTATCATGGTGGATCCTCCAAAGAAGATGCAGAGAAAAACAAGCTCCGTGATGCTGACTCCTTGAATACAGAAGTGGAGACCTTCGGAACTGTAGCCTGATTACCTCTTTCGACATCAATTTAAGTTCAGCAACAAGAGCTTTAGCTGTTTTCTCAATCCCACGAGTAATCTGAACAGGGTTGGCCCCAGCGGCAACCACCTGAACCAGAACAGGCTCTTATGAGAAAAAGAAAATACACCTTTCAAACTTCAAAGATGAACAGATGATAGGCAATTGAATTCGCATCATACCTTAACACCCTCAGCGATCAAACCCTGAGCAAGGACGACGGAGGTGGTCGTGCCATCTCCAGCCAAATCATTGGTCTTGGCAGCTGCTTGCCTCACGAGCTTGGCACCAATGTTCTCCACGGGGTCCTCCAACTCTACCTAGAAGAGGAAGAACACTCAGATTAAGCACTCAGAAGGCAGATAAATCAAAAGCCTCTCAAAACGATAAGAAACCCGCAGATGCAGGAGTAAGACATTTCAAAGACTGAAGTCCCTCAACAAAAGTAAAGGCGAAACGGATAAAGACCACACCTGTAGGTATCAAATATAAGTAAAATAAATCGAAATCTCCATAGGGAAGAAGCTATGACAACATGCCAAGGACATTTAAACTTCACGTCACCATAATACGCACAGTAGATGACATTAACCTGAATCCTTCGAGGTTATGAATTGAAAACTTGGGATTACCGACAAACTCCCATGAAGGAATAAAGAAACCCAGAAAAAGAAAGGCGCATGGTTCATTGGAAAAAGAGAATAGAGAAAAAAAAAGATGGGTTGGATGGGAGAAAAGACCAGAAAGCAAAAGCACTGGTGATACCTCTCTGGCCACGGTCACACCATCGTTAACAATCTTGGGAGAGCCGTACTTGCTCTCCAGGACGACGTTTCTCCCTTTCGGTCCAAGGGTAACGCCAACAAGATCAGCAAGCTTATTCACGCCCGTCTGAAATGAGTAAGCAACAACATAGCATCCTTAGCCACAGGCACAGCTACAGACAATCTAGGAGGTTATCCAATCGAAAGATAACTGCATGAATCTGGCAAGCTCACCTGGAGCTTCTTAATTGCAGATCCGTCCTTGTTGAAGTAGAGCTCCTTCGCCATGGCCTTGACTACGGGAGTAGCAGACCTTCTGCGCAGGCGCATCCCCTTTCTTTCTCCGCCGAAGGAAGCAGAAGATATTGAAGCGAGAGAGGACAACTGCGCTGACCGACTGGTCAAGCCTGTGAGCTTGTTGTCCACCGGCAGGCCGCTGGGTGCCGCCAATGACATGGTGCTGATAGCCGACGCCATTTATGGAAACTGTCACCCAATATCCAGAAGAAAATCAGTAATTTATCACCCAACGGACCCACAACATGAACTCCGAATGTTGAAAAGCAAACAACTAAACACCCAATTCTGCGTTCATCAACACGAACGCGTGCCAAGCAAGCTATAACCCAATGGAGAATCCCCGAAGAGAACCCGAGAAACAGCGGGAATCCCTAATCTCCAACCATTCACAAAAGCCCACGAAATGGCTCAACGCGCGACACGCAACGCAATATCCCCAAGTTAGAAGCCAATTGCCGTCGACGATCCCCAAAAAACGTAGAAACGAAACTCGGAAAACGCCGCTAGCCGGCACCATTCGCCCGGCCAGAGCCAGCAGAAAGCAGAAATCGAGAACCGGAAGAGTATACCAGACAAGGAGGAAGGGGGGAAAGGGGGGAAAGGGGGGAAAGGGGGAAAGGGGGAGAAGGACTCGGACTCGCACTCGAGAAGCGGCGCTGGCGAGGAGGAAGAAGTGCTCACTGTCACTGGCGGGAGGATAAGGCAGGCTACGGCTCTGTGCTTCGAGAGGAGCTCAGCACGTCCACGAGAGGATGAGACGGAGGCGCAGAAGGTTTCTATAGAACGAGGGTTTATAGAGGAACCACCATCGCGAAGGTTCGGGACAACCGGCGCCGTCGGATCGTTCGATCTCGGCCCCCTTTGGAACCCTCTAGAACCTCACGCACCTTACCCATCCGCATCCGATAATACGGGTAACGGATAAGTTGATCGGTCAGATATTTTACATCAACCTAGATCCGGCCCAATTAGATATCCCGAGGTAAAGGTCGTCGAAGTTCACGTGGAATGGATGCCACGTTGCGGGCCCCTGTTGGAGGCATCGCGTGGACTCATTTAATGCTTAAATACTAATTTAATTGTTTCAAAAAAGGACTAGTAAATTGCCTAACTTAGCAATTAATTCGGAGAAAATAAGAGCTCACACAAAAGAATTTAATTTTCAATATGAAGAGCTTTTTTACCATTAAAATAATATAACATAAAAATACTGATTTTCCCAATAAATAAATAAAATGCAAAACCAAGCCCATAAAATCGATTTCGTGATTTTTGGAAAATCAGATGATCTGACATTTTTCGCCCCATTAATAGAAAGAATGAGAGAACTAGGAAGAAAAATGCCGTTTGAAGGTTTTCTTCAAGAGGGCTTATAGACCAAGAATGACGCCGTTCTGCTGTATGCCGAAGCAAACGCCTTCCCTGCCGCGGTGGGCTGAGAGAATGCACATCTGGAGAGCTCAACCACAGACCCTGCCTCAAAATTCTCCCTACGAGAAGATATCACAGTTTAGCGAAGCGTTGACCCGAGAGCATGATCCAAGAACTTGAGAGAGTCCTACCTCACAGAATCCAACAGCTTTGAAGCGATGCGCTGCCTCCGCTTTGAAGGGGCGACCCAGATGGCCCTGATGCCGCAGACTGCCTCCACAGATGCCTCCTCACAGAAGATCGCTGCCCCTCCAGAATCGTCCTTTTTCAGCCTAGGGCTGGGGGTGCATGGGGGGCTCCTCATGGGTTCCCTCTGAAACCTCATGTTTCCAAATCGCAGCATGTTCTTACCGCTTCGAGTCGATCTGGTTGCGTCTTTACTGTCGGTAATGGAGGAGGGGATGGAAACCGAAACGATTCTGTGGGCAGTTTTTATCGGTTCAGAAAACACACAGCCAACGATTCGATTGCCGGATATGAACATATACACCTGAAATAGGAAAGAATTCGAATGATTGGAACTACTTCCCAAGATCATATTGTCTTCCGTGGTGCTTGATTTACCTTGCAGAGGTTATGAAGAAGCCAGCCAGAGCTTAAGCCGAGATCCTGTTCAAGCAAATCGACCATCTGCAGGACCTGCTAAGGTGACAGTGATTAATAAATATTACGGTCCTTCTTTCATTCATTCTTTCTCCGTCAGACGAGGATGCTATTGGTTCTACATGTTCTGCATGAAGAAATCTGATGAAGGGATAAGAAACAGTTGTGCTGATAACCTTGTGCTTGTGACCAGGAGGGTCGTCGTTTAAGATCAAAATAATGCGATCTCCAGTGGCCCTGTCCAAAGAGATCACCCTCTCACCACGCCAGCCCTGTTGAACAAACCCAAGGAAATCAGATCAAAAGTTGCTCAAGAAGAAGAAAAAAAGAATGTGTATCACTGCATTTAGTTGGCAGGTCATAGACCTTGAATGGGATTCCACGGCAGTAGTTATTGTGGAATGACCTGTGGAGCTTCTCGTCGTCTTCATCTCCACGGGTATACCTCATCCCGCATGTAGAACATGTGTGGAGAAGGAAATCCGGCTGCCCCAGTTCCAGAAAGCATTGGGCATAGCTCCTCCTCTTTTTGAGGACCTTCCCTACATTTGATCCCTCAGCAGATGTAGTTGATGCCTCATCAACAGCTTCAAGAACTTGGTCATCTTCATCCTTCTCCTCATCAGACCGACTGCAAACAAGGAGATGGATCATGCAGCTGCATGAAGATAATCCTTGAAAATGATCAAAGCTCGCTTATGATAGAATGTCGATGTTTTGGGGGATGGTATACTACATTGATAATGAAAATAATCAACTGATTCATCAGTTTCCAACAAATCTGACTCAGTTCCCCACCGAGAAAAGATTTTCATAAAATTCCTCATAACGATAGAAACCCATTTAATTAATAGTTCAAGCAGGCATTGATTACTCTGAAAATGTTGTCACCGCAGATGGACCTACAATTCTCTTTCCAGAGATGGGGTAGTAAAGCGGATCCTCCAGGAAGAAGAACAGGAAGACATTCAAATTATTTCACATCTGCCGCGGTACTTTCCGAGAAAAAGTAGGTGATGCGAGATATTTCGAAAAATATCGCCCTCAGTTTCTGAACGACATCAAACAGACACCAAAGATTTCCGCGAATTTGACGATTAGAGAGAAAAATAAAGGCACAAGTAAAATAACCTAGAGATGGATATGAATGTGAAATGGAAAAAAAAAGAAAAATCCAAAAATTTTGAACACATAAAACACAAACGGAATGGAGAGGACGGATCGGTCTAGTCCCCTCGAAATTGATGAATACATGAATCCATTTCGTAGAAGAACAACATCACATCAAGTAGATAACTGAAAAGAGGAGACTCGTCGCCCTCTGTAAGAGAATCAGATGCAACGCCGTCCCTGAGCGAGAATTTCACGGACGGACGCGCAAGATGGAACCATATGCTACCTCTCTTCGCAGGTCTCCACATCTTGGCGGCGGCGCTTGTAGGTCACCAACGCTTCGACATTCGTCGTCCCCACCCGATAGAGTTCCCCCGCGTCAGGACCGACGTTGCCGGGAATCGAAGCCGTAGGCTTCGGTATTCTTGCCACCGGACGCTTGAAGAACGAGTCGATCTTCGCTTGCATCTGCCTGAAGGAGGAACCCCTCAAGACTGCGAGCAGGTGGCGCAGGCGAAGGAGAGGAGGTCCTGGCGAAAGGCGGGAAAGGTGACTCTTTTCCCGAACGGATACGGGGGCGCTTTAAGGATGAAATATCGGGTCTAATAACCGCTACGGTGGAATATCCGATATACAACGGAAAATTCAGTGGACTTTATGCAGTTATAAGCATTCAAAGAGGGCTTGCGAGTTCGGGAGATGCTTTTCCTAAATTTATTAAAAAAATCCTACTATTTAATCAAGAAGTGGAATTTTAGTTAAATAAAAAACGAAAAAATCAGTAGAAAAATGTACACAAAATTTGATAGTAATTTGTTCAGAGTTTCTTCAGAAATTTAAAGAATCCCAATTATAAAATCAAAGTATTTTAAAAATTATGTATAGTTTGTGGAGTGATTTGTAAGATATTTAGAATGGAATAAAAAGACAAAAAAAAGTAATACTATTTGGTGATTTATAATGTTATTGACATTTTCTTTGACCTTACTCGTACAACTTGACAATTTGCTACTTGAAGATGATCATAACTGAAACATTTTGGCTTTATTTTTTGTAATATTTATTATTTAAAGAGTGTATTTAATGAATAAATGCATTCATAAATCCTCAGCCTTAATATTGTTCCAAATTGGCCTTATGGTATCCAAAAGTATCAAGGAATAGACTAGCATTGAAAAAAGGTCAAAAAGGACTATCCAAAGCATGTCATCAATCTATTATTGTGGATTTTCAAGCTTTTCTAGTTTTTAGGCTGATAAAATACATAAAGGGTACTACTGTAAATATAAAATTATAAATTTGTGCCAAATGTTTGTTCAAAATAGTAATAAAATATACTTTGAACTCATGGCAAAGTTCCATATGATTTCCAAACTATTGGTGAGATATCATGTCTCTATTTACCTTTAGGAAGAGAGTTGACTCAACTAATAAGATGAGGTTTATACTGAGTAAGATTTATGAGATAATGATTTTTGAATATTTTTACAAATACTCAGAATAATTGTTGTAATATAAAATTAATATTTTACCCTTTCATGCATTTTGTTAACATCAAAACCAAAAAATCCTTCAAAGTTAATAAGGATTCAAAGCATTCAAATCAGCTCCAGAATTACCATTTTCATATATTTATCTAGTGTTCAATGTTTCTCCTAGTTCTAGATAGGCTTCCTAACACATCTTGTGGAGAACAAAATTTAACCTTGTAGTAGTGCATTTTGGAGCTTTCTAGTAGTAGCATATTGACCTAGAGCTGGAAGATCTTTAATAACTATGAAAGATTGTTGATGGATACTGATCTTAAATATATTCATATAATCACATAATTGCTGAATTATTTTCATTTTTTTAGTTGTGTTTTAAACCAGTAAAAGATTATTTTATTAGTATGTTTTGATACTAATTTCACATTATTATAAAATAATCAGTTTTCAGTTTATAATTTTTAAGATTGAAAAATAACCATAGAAAGATTAAAAAAAATTCATGCATACGTTATTTTTGCACAAATTCTTGAATGAAGATATAAATTATAAGATCTACTCCATTCATTGTTACATTATGTTTTTAAGGCTAAATACATAACAGAAAAATATATAATGGAAGAAAATTAGATTCATCCTCAAAGCAAAAGATTCCAGAAAAAAAGAAGATGATAGAAAGTGTCTGTCCATGGGTTGACCTAGTGAAAGCAAAGAAGAAAGAAATGTGATGACTCATGTGTCTACTAAACTAGAGGTGAACTAATATCAAGAAAGAGAAAAAAAAGTTTGTCCTCGAGATATTTGACATATCATACATTTCAAAATGATTCAACGTGTCAAAATATTTTTAAAAATTAAAAAATATTTTGATATATCTCAAGAAAAAATAAAAAAAATCATATTGACATGTCTAGAAAGCTAGTATCTCAATAGTTCACCAAATTAACAATCCAACTACATAGATTACTTTCCATGTTGACACACATAATCTTCGACCTAAGCAGCCTTAATGATTTGAACTCTAATCCTCATGTTTTTAGGCATTGTAAAAAGTCTAACTTGTGTTTTCAAAGCACACTTGAACAATATATCAATTTGCTCTATTTTGGTAAAATTCCTAATTTAAGTATTCTAATGTGAGTGCAACCCCACCAAAGCTTCATCAAGTATTCACATGCACACTATACATCTAAGTATCCATTTCTCTTCTTGTTCAATGTGTTCATTCTAATTTAGTCAACGCAACCTATGTCAAGCCAACTGAGATTGTATAGACCCAACCTAGTTTGTATGAACTTAGTAAATCATAAATAGAAATCTTTAATAGACATCTAAAAGTAGTAAGATACCTTAAAGAGACAATTTTCATGGCATTTCGTCTAGCTCACTGATAACATCCTAATTCTGCTTATTAATACGATTTATAATCATGATTTATATGTCTAATTAACTAGGTTTAGCATGTTATTGAATCTAGTTCCATGGATTTTGGATTTAACATGGGTTTTTTAATTGAAGTAATTTGAAGAATATTTTTGTGCATTCATGACGTGAGTTGGTTTCTCAAAGTGAGAGTTGACATTCTTATTTCGTAAGTTTTTTTATTTCATTTATTATGGATGAATTGATTTATCTAATTTCAAAAAAAAATAGAGAAGGGGCAATGGACCAATGGGCCTATTGGGCAGACCATAAAGGAAGATAAGGGCCCATTAAATAAGTGGAGGCACCCCTATTTAATGCAGCCACCCCCACTTAGATAGGACAGCCCCACTCTTTCTTTCTCTCTCTTCATCTTCCACCTAAGAGGACACATGGTAGTCTATGAGAGGCCACAGCTCTCCCACATGGGTTGCCGCCATGACCAACCATGCAAGGAAGGTGGATAGCCAGCCATCTAAGGAAGCTGGACAGCCAATCATCCAAGGAAGGGGGACGCTTAGCCATCCAAGGAAGGGGCACACCTAGCCATCAAGGAAAGGGGATGGCCAACCATCCAAGGAGAGGGGGAGAAGACCAAACCCTAGGAGGGAGAGTAGCCTAAACAGTTGAGATTAATCCCTCTCTCTCTTCATCCAAGGGTTGAAATTTAAAGCTATCAAGATATAAACAGCCTGTGGAGGAGAGAGAATGACACTCTTGAGAGGAGAGGAGCAAGCTTACATTTTTGAGGATTCATTTAAGATCTAGAGGGAGGAAGCAAGTTCAAGATCTACTTTGGAGCCCACTTAATGTTCTCTAGATATCATTCCTAGAAGAACGCTTGTTTTGGCCAAGTATTTTCATTGTATTTGATTCTTGTTGCTTGAATGAATATTTTTTTGTTTCTTTTGAATCATCTTCTCCTATAGATCCCTTGCTATTATTTAAAGGATTTCTTTTGTGTCATTACAATTATCTATTGATATAGTATAAACCCCAACCATATTATATAAGTGTTTTCTACCTTATAAAACCCTCTCTTGGTGATTGAAAGATTATTAAGGTGAGATTCTACTCTTATTTTCCACTATTTGTCACTTTAAATATCAACATAATTCAATATATAAATAGTATTTGATCATCTCTTAATTATCAGTGACTAAGAGACATCACTCACTTGTGACCAAACAATTGTGTCTATTATTATATTTTTTTGATATTATGTGAATTCTTTATATATTGAGGTATCTGATGGCACGTAGTAAATTATATTCAAGTATAAATGATATATATTCAGACCATATACTTCATATGTTATGATTTTCATAACTAATTAGCATGAACTCCTAGGCTAAGTTGAATATATATAGTTAATTTTGTCCTTGCTTCCAAGTTTGATACCTAGAGTTACACATTGTAATTTCTCTATACTAAGGATGAGGTACTTTATATATTCAAAATTATTATTATTATTTTTTGATTTGTTCTGCAATGTAACTCCTCATACATTAACAAACTATTTAATATACAAGTACTAAAACTATTGTGCAACGTAGCTCCTAATATACTAAGTTTGATTTACTACACTATTTTACAGTGCAAATTTCATATATTGAATTGTTTTGAGTTCAACATTATAATATGAGAAATATGAAATGCAATATTAATATACTCTTCTATTCCACAATGAAAATCCTTCATATTTTGCACTAATTTACTACACTTTTATCAAATATCAACCTCTCAAAAGTTGAGATATTTATTTGATGTACATGCTATTTCATAATATAAAATGATCTCCTAAAATGTTACAATCAATGTACCCAAAATTAATGAAATATATCTAGGTAAGATTAACCTAGTAAAATATATGCATAAATGTATTCTACCTCGACCCAATATCAATCTATTTTTGTCGAAGGGTGCCTTTCTATCAAGAATAAATAATCCATAGTTGTACATCTCTAATAAATTTATATTTTAATGCATGCCTTGGTAACATCAAAAGGGGTTTAAAGTTTTTATTTATACCTGAAAAAGTTAGAGAGAAGGACAAAGTTATCATTTAAAATAAGTTAAATCGTATTTTCTAACTAGATGAGTGTCAACTTTAATGGGACATGTTGACACATAAATGGATGTGATAATGCAATGTTACACATAAATTTATGAGTCTACACCTATATAATTTCCATGATTAAATTAAGGCTTACATAAGATCCTACTTTCTAGGTTGTTGACAAGTTCAATTTTTTCCAAAGCTATTGATGAGAAATTTACTAGTTTAAGAGTTGTAGGTCTCAAAAGCTTCCATCTCAAGCTCCTCATTTCTCTAACCACTTCACCATATTTTTGAGAGTTATCAAATCTTTATGAAGAATTCTTTTATGCATAATTTTAAAGACTTTAGGCTGTCTAATTCATTGTTTAGACTATTTTAATTAGTCCATTGTGAGCATCATATGGATAAGACACATACAACCAAAATAATGAATTTATCAGATATTATTATCGAGATGATTTCATAACTAGACTATTACAGCTATGGTAAATCAAGATTTATGAATTAAATTGTGTAATACATCTGCTAGAAAGGTAAAAATCCAATGCCTAATGATTTAGATAAGTTTTCAAACTAATTTTTTGTCAAAACTATAGGCCTCTTATTAGAAAGATATTTGAAAGATGAAAATAAAGAATAGAAGATATAAAAAATTGAAAAAAATTATAATTAATATGAGTTTTAGAAAATTAACAATTAAGATAAATCTTAGCTATTGATGTGACATTTTATGATTCAGTTTACAACTATTATTAGCAAGTGACAACATTTATGATAGCTTGTTTGGTGGCCTGATGCTAGGAACCCAATCTAGGAGTGAAATCAGCATGATAGGCCAATTAGTTGGCAAAGGTGCAATTAACTTAAGGAAATTTGATTTCTTATTATGTGAAAATTACATCAATTTGATGGGATTAATGGCTAAATGGTCCCTTAATCTGTGATTACTTGAGTTTAATTTTCATGGAAGATTAGTGAAAACACAAGTAATAGTTATTAGGATAGTGGATGTAGAATAGGGATTGAATACCTCTTAAATTATGTTTGCATTTTACTGATTTGTGTTGATTATTCAATTCCTAGAATACAAATATTTTTTTTCTCTTAAGTACCTTATAACAATCAATCATATTGATTAAATTAGACTACCTATTTGAATTATATCTAGAGTTATATGAAAGCACTTATTACTTGAGTGTCCTTATTTTAATTCTGCTTCATCTCTAAATACCATTTCAAAAAAGACCATTGCTTCAATAATACTCTCAATAAGGTGTAATTTCAAAAGATTATGAATAAATAAGATTTCTTAATTCAATTGAAATCTTGATAAGGTCTATTAACCTCCCTTTGAAGACTACTTTGGATGTCCATTGATCCTTTAATATATAAGAATTGTATTGAACTAAAGTCAAACTTTTAAATCCAAATGACAAATTGCCTACAAGTATTATATTTTCTGCACCCTTTCAAGAATTTTATGCATGAGAAAGGATGTAAGGCTTCCCGTTTAAGATATTATCTCACAACATATTCATTATAATTTGGTTTTTATCATGATTTTCTTTGAACATTTAGAAAACATTGAAAACAGCTAATTGTATTTATTACTTTTGTGTACTCATGACATTAGATTATTACTTTTGAATGGTTTTGGTATTATTTTAACCGATTTAATTTAGATTACTTATTAGGTTAGATATGATTTTGTAGACATTAAATATTATAATTTATAAAATTATTTAGATATATTGAATCACTAAAATCATAATTAAAAATAATAACATCATGATTCAAGATGTTAACTTAATGTCATACTTTATTTGAGGTGATTCAAAGAAGATTTGATTGTTAAATCAACATCTTATCAGGATATCAATTGCCAACCTTATTTTAATAATATTAAATCTTTACCAATCTTTTGTTGAACCGATATGATTCAAATATTTATATTATGTTTTAAAAGAATCATGTATTGGTTTCTCTTGAGGATTTATGAAATTATAAACACATATTATACTAATTTTCCTATCATTTTAATTTCTAATAATTTATAGAAATATTACTATTGTGAGATAGTAGAAAGCAAAAATAAATTACGAATTAGATTTCTTTATAAATACAAGAGTTTCTGATGACTAATTTGAACTGAACATCTATTTTTAACCGTTTCACAACCTCAATACTTGTATTGAGTTTATACTATGTTAAAGTATGAAGTTGAGGAGCTTATCTCAATCATTTAGGAACCATCCTCAACTAGTCCAAAAGCACAACATCTTAAGCTAGTATCTTTATGAGAAGAGGACATCAAATATTAAGCCTTGATTATAATCCTCTTGATCAACATTCTGAACATTACAAGTTAACATAATTTTTTGAAAATCATTTCATTATTTATTGTGAGATAAATGTGATATTAAACTCTTATTTTTCATAAGTGGGATTTATCTTTATTGTTGATGGCCTTGGTTTTGTCACTTCTAATTGAATTTTTTTAAAAAAATATTAATAAAATATTTATTGAATATTTATTAAACCATCAATGGATATTATGAGAGCTTATGCATATTAAATATCTCTAATAAACATTATATATTGATATTACTTGAATAATCTTAAAATAAAAAAATTTCATAGAGTTCTATCCTTGAGAAAAAAAAATGGAACATAATACAATATCATGTAGTTCTAACATAATTACAAATGAATATGTGTCAATACATGTGATTTGCTACCTTAAATATAAGACTAATTTTTTTCTAAAGAGAAAATAATAGCAACAATTCTTTTTTAATAGTAGTGTAATTTAATTAGGCATTGACAAGAGTCTTACTAGTGTATAAATGGTGACTAATTTCTTGTCAATTCTTTGACTCAATATAACTCCAACTGTAAAATCAGAAGCATCACACATTAGCTAAAAAAGATGGGTACATTCAAGACCTTGGAGGATAGAAGCCTTGATAAGAGCTTGCTTCATTTTGAGGAAGGCTGATTCTCCTACAGCATCTATCACAAAATTTTGGTCCTTAGCTAGGTGTTAGGTTAATGGTTTAGCAAGGTTCACAAAGCCTTCAACAAATCATCGATAGAAGTGTGAAGACACGTATAGAAGTGTGAAGAGGAAGGTTTTATATCACCACAATTTTTACTTTGTCAACTTCTAATCCTCACTTGTTGATCAAGTGGTCTAGCACTACACCTTCAATGACCATGAAATAAGATTTTTCCAAACTCAGAACTAACTTCTTTTCTACACAAATCTGCAAAACTTTAGTTAAATTGATCAAGCATTCATCAAAAGTTTGACCAAAATAGAGAAATCATCTATGAATATCTCTAAATAATTTCCTAGTAATGTGGAGAACATAGCACTCATATACCATTGGAAGGTGGACGGTGCGTTACACAACTCAAACAACATTGTAGTTAAGGCATATATACTGAAGGAGTAGGTAAATGTTGTCTTCTCTTGGTTATTTGAACATATTGCAACTTGGTTATACCTTGAGTATCCGTCCAAAAAATAGAAATAATGTTGGCAAGATGTTTTAAAATTTGATCTATAAATGCTAAGAGAAAGTGATCATTTTTTTGTGATCTACTTTAATTTTTTGTAGTCAATACAGACTCTCTAACCAATAGTTAGGTGGATATGAATCTTCTCTCCATAGCATTTATACAGATCATAATTCTTGATTTTTTTTAAACAATATAAATTAGATTTAACCATGGGCTATCAAAAATGGCATAAATTATTTCAGCAGTTAGCCACTTCACCATTTTAGCTTTGACTACCTCTAACATCTTTGGATTAAGTCTCTACTAGATATCTCTAATTGTCTATGTATTTTCATTAGTAAAAATTCTATGCATACATACTTCAGAACTAATGCATTGGATGTCCGAAAGAGTCCATCTGATGGCTAACTTGTCTTGCTTAAATGTGCTTACTAATTTCTCCTCTTACTCTACTACTAAGAGGGAGGAAATAGTAATAGGAAGTGTATCATGTGAACCTAGATATAAATATTTTATGTGAGAAGCCAGCAGCTTTAAGATTGAAGGAGGACTCATTGAAGCTGCTTGGGCTTTTTCCATATCAATGTCCATGGGGGAGTGAAGCATATTACCTACCATTTTGCTAAGAACTTCTACACACACATCAACAATGTCAATCATGCATAAATATTCAAATTAGTCAAGATACTTCAATAATTTTGTAATTTTTAACTCAATTTTTTCTTTCCCAAAGTTTAATC